CCACTCCTCTGTAAAGACTTGTTGAATATCAGAAGCCAAAGAAAACATTTCATCTTTAGCCTCCAGTTTTTGAGCAAGAAAGAAACGTGCATTGGTTGAACATCTTCTAAGTCCCAGGTCCTACTTATGCCTACAAAAAGCAGAGGCAGCATTGCCCACCGCCAGCTTCCATACTGCCCAAGCCTGTCTTCTTCCTGTTTTCCACAGAAGGCCTCAGGAGACGTTTCCACCTTTAGAGGAAGTGACTGTAAAACCACTGTGTGAGTCTGTGGAGCCACCGCCCCCTTCAGCCTGGGCCAGCCCCCTCCTCCCATTTCCACTCTTCTCTTTCTACTTCCTTTCTTTCTCTCCCCATGTCCTTGGTGGCATCTTTCCTGTGTAGGACAGCCCCCTTAAGCTATGATCCTGGCTTTTCTTGGATTCTGTTCCCTGACTTGGCACACCCTTGTCCCCAGTGTTGTCCAGCACTTGTCCTTCCCTTTCAGAGCCACTTGGGGGATGAGACTTTCAGGAGAAGAAAAATTTATTTTGTTTTCAGAACTAAAACAATTCATTATTCTTTCCTTTTTCTATTCTAGAAGCACATTGAGTTTGGTGGGAAAAAACGGAGTGAATCAGAAATGTCACGTTACTTCTGTTTGACGGGAGGGCAAATCTCTAGCTCACAGGTCAGCTTCTGAAGGGTGCCAAGGAGAAATGAAAGCAAATATATCTTTTGTGCACAAAGAGTTTGCAGGTACAGACCTGCTCAGCACAGCTTTGCCTGTCAGAAACTGGCTGCATCTCCACCGAGAAAGACTGTTGATGATGCTCTTTGCCTGTTAGAAACTGGCTGCATCTCCACCGAGAGACACCGTTGATGATGCTTTCACTGTGCTTGAAGTGGTTTGATTTGCCATTGGATAATAAAAGTAGGATTACAGTGAGCACGATAAACGCTCTCTGCCTGCCTCTCCTGCCCACTCTACTGAGATGCTGATTCCCATACTCTAGACCTCTGCCTGCTCAGTTGGCCAGCAGGAGGCACCAGAAGTTGGGGTGTGGGAGGAGCATGAGGTGAGGGCATTTATTCCTCTGGTATCATCTTTGCTGGCATCCTGGGGCTGTGTGCCACCTACGGCTACAGTTTCCAGAAAGTTCTATTGCCTTCACTTAACCTTCAGCCCCACAGACGATAACATGGTTTGCTCAATGCTCCGGGGGTGTACTGCGAGAGTCCTTCTGACTTCCATAACTCTGCCCACATTCATGTAACTCTTCCCTTTATTAAACCTTCCTCACTTGTCTACCTGGCTGAATGCTCCACATATCCAACCCACCCTCCTCTTTTAGAGAGGGTGTCGTGTATCTCAGGCTGACCTCAAATTCACTTTGTAGACAAAGATGACTTTAAGCTTCTGGCCCTCCTGAGTGCTAGAATGCAAACACACACAACCACATGCAATTTATATGATGCTGGGCTTCATACACAAGAGGCAAGCATTCTATCAACTACATCCTCAGACCCTGTTCCATCTACTTCTCCCCAAAGCCATAATTTTAGGTAAAATCAAATCCATCAGTATAAAGAATAAGAAAAGCTGTTTGTGTAAATATCACTGTCTCAGAATCTTAGAATTTGATGTTTTTTTTTTTCTTCCTCCTTTTGTTTTTCTGAAACTTTGAGCTTTTAAATAACAAGTGGGCATTATCTCTGGTTGGAGAAAAACAACCGAGTTGTGAAGGTCAGAGAAGAGAGCGGTGTGCAAAGTGCGTAAGGTCCCGGTGGGTGAGCCCATGGGTCTAGGGGGCGTTAAGGCTGCTCACCCAGAACTGATTCTTCACTTTCTTCAGCTGTGGAATGACTGCCCACTGGAGTGAATGTAAACATAACACCCCCAAAACTGGATCTGTCCAGCCCGGAGACCTCAGCACACAGTCAAGTCCATGCTTGCTCTTTCCCTGTCTCTGCTCCCTTACTTCCCACATTAACAGTTCCCATCTCCGTAAAGCCTGCTTCTCCCTTTCCCCGTCCTTATGTCCCCAATCCCAGAGGGGGCCCAGTAAAACCCAGGGCCATGAGCTTGCAGCGAAACTGCCCCCGCTGGTCTCATGGGTCAGTGTCTGTGCCAAATGAAAGAGATGGCTTCCAAAGGAATGCCTTTTTCCTCTCCTTTTTTTTGAACTTGGCAATGAATTAATCATTGTTTATCGGGGCAGTGTGATCCTTGATCCCAGCAATGGTGCGAAGGCATAAATCATGGCCCTTTGGGGGTGGGGGTTGTGGGAGGAGCGAGCACAGCTTAAAGCCTTGTTCCTCTCACATAGGAAAAATCTTCCCGTTTTCAAGAGGCTGGGAGTGGACTCTGGGCTATTTATAGCCCTGCTGCTGCTGCGCTGAGGCCTTTGTTCCCACAGCTGGCCTGGGAGATAATCAGCATAGTTCTCTTTTCTAGCCAGGTCTGCAAAATAGACTCCCTTCCTCTGGTGGTCCACCCCGCCCCTTTCCTCCGGAACCTCTAAGCCCACCCTCCCTTGCTGGACTTCAGCTTCCAAGAAAGTAAAGGGTGTGTGTAAAAGCAGAAAGGCCCGTCGGGCCTCAGCTTGGAGATGAAGATAGGACTGTGACCTGTTGGCAGACAGATCTGTCTAAAACGGGTCTGTGGAATGTCCACAGAACTTGGCACAAAGGGCCTGTTGGGAGCTATGGTGAAAGGGCACATGCCACAGGCTCCATTGCATCTCTCAGAAGTTTCTCTGGATAGAAAAACGGGGTCCCAGAGAGGGCAAATTCCGAAGTTCTCCTGCTGAATGTCTTGGCAGGTAAGAGCAAAGGCAGAACTGATCATGTTGGGCTCCAAGGATGTGAGCCTCAACCTGGCCTCCACACTTACAGGCTGGTGACCAGAGGCAGGCTCCTTCTGAACCTGTTTCTTTATATATACAATAGGGGTCTGGACTCACGGAGTTTCCTCATTTTTAGAGATTTTCTTTATGTGTGGGCCTGTGTGTGAGTAGGCACACTCCTGTGTTTGACAGTGGAGGCCGGAAGAGGGTGTCAGACCTTTAGGCAGCTATGAGCCACCAGTCCTGGGTGTCAGGAACAGAACTCTGGAAGAGCAGCAAGTGCTTCTAACCACTGTGGTAGCTCTCTTTAGAAGCAGACTATATAATAAAGATATTAAAGTGGAATTAGAGGGCTGGAGAGATGGCTCAGAGGTTAAGAGCATTGCCTGCTCTTCCAAAGGTCCTGTGTTCAATTCCCAGCAACCACATGGTGGGTCACAACCATCTGTTGAGGGTCTGGTGCCCTCTTCTGGCCAGCAGACATACAGACAGACTATTGTATACATAATAAATAAATAAATATTAAAAAAACTTTAAAGTGGAATTAGAGAGAGGTTGAGGCAGTAAACCCGTCCACTAATATTCTCTTGCTTGACCTAATAGCCTGTGTGATAATTTGAGTGTAATAGGACCCCATAAGCTAAGGGGGAGGGCACTACTGGGAGGTGTGGCCTTATTGAAGTAGGTGTGGTCTTGTTAGAGGAAGTGTGTCATGTGGGGGTGGACTTTGAGGTCTCCTATGCTTAAGATACTGCCCAGTGTCTCAGTTCACTTCCTGTTGCCTGTGGGGATCAAGATGTAGTTCCTTCTCCACTCTTGTCTCCTGTTCCAGCACCATGTCTGTCTGCTCACCAGCATGCCACACCACCATGAGAATAGACTGAACTTCCGAACCTGTAAGTCACTCCAATTTTCCTTTCTGAGAATTGCCATGGTCATGGTGTCTCTTCACAGCAATAGAACTCCAAACTAAACCAACCAGGAACCTATAATTCCTGAGAGTCTAAGCCCCAAAGATCAATGACCTTGGACGTTCTAAGGTTTGAAAGTCATTCATCCGTCTGTTATAAATACTGACTGAACTTCTCCCATGTATCAGGGATTAAAGGATGACTAAGAAAGCCTTGTCCTTGTCTCATGAGCCTTATAATCTAACAAGACAGAAACAAATGTCACTGAAATAAACAATGTGTACATGCGTATGCATTTTACTGGATAGACTAGTGAGCCCTAAAAAGATGAATAAAATACAGATTTTCCTCATTATTTGCAGCTGTTATCATCTGTGGCATAATCGCAGAACGGAATTCACAACTAGCAGCCATTGCTTCTGTGGGAAACACCAGGTTGGCTCTCATGAGTCTCTAGTTTTATTGACCAATCAACACTTGCACATGTTTCATGTGTGCTTATGTGTAGAGAGGCTTTATTTAATGTACTCTGGTGATTCCCTGACATAGACGTCATGGCCAACTGCAACACTTGAATAAGTCATACCTAACACATACATGTCCCCTCCAAAGCACAGCATAGCCTTCCTGAGCTTACAAACATTCCAGCACTCAACTCGGGGCCTTTTTGAAACACACAATGAGACCGCCAACGAAAGGCAAGACAGTGGGGGAAACTAGGAGACTAAGTTGACTGGGAAATGGCTGTTGGTTTCAGTGTGACAAGGTGAGAGCTGGAACAAAAAGACGGAGTGCTACTTGCTGGCTTCAGTAAGGAACACGTGTGTCAGGTGACTGAAATTCTCTCTGCTCTGTGCCAACTCTTGAATGACCCTGAGAGAGCTTTAAATATTGATTTGGAGTGACAACTTTTAGAGAGGAGGCAAAAATCATGAATACAGAATTGGCAAATATTGAGGATCGATTTCACACACACACACGTGCATGCATGCATGCACACACACATGCACACACACACACATTCAACCTGTAAGGAAGAAAAGGAAAGAGTGTTGTGAAATACAAGAAAAAAAAAACCTGACCAGGGTGGCAAATGGTGGCATTTCAAACCAGACCCTGAAGGATAGAGGTGGCCCAGGAGGGAAGGGACAGTTCTACCCAGAGAAAGGGCCCATGGGAAGTCTCTGCAGAAGTAAAGGGCTTGGTGCATTTGTGTGATGTGGTGGTTCGAATGAGCAATGTCCCCCATAATCTCAGATGATGTGGGAGTGTCATATATCAATCTGTTGATTTCATTGGCTGAGTAATAAAGAAACTGCTGGCCCTGATAGGTTATAAGATAGGTGGGCGGAATAAACAGGATAGGATGCTGGGCGGAAGAGGAAGTGAGGTCAGACTCTGCTCTGCTCCCGGAGAGACCCGACAGCTCTGCTCTCTGGAGCAGAGACACCATGGACGGAGGCTAGAATCTCCCCGGTAAGCGCACCTTGGGGTGCTTACAGGCATTATTAGAAATGGGCTAGTCCAGGTGCGAGAATTAGCCTGTAAGGGCTAAAGTTCAGGGGCCAAGCAGTTCTCAAATGAATACAGTTTGTGTGTTGTTATTTCGGGCATGAGCTAGCGAAGCGGCCGGGGTGTTGGGGACGCAGCCCCGCCGCTCCCTATTTCAACACTCAGATACTTGAATGCTTGGTCCCCCTGTGATAGCGCTGTTCTGGGAACCTGTAGACTCTTTAGGGGACTCTAGTGTGATTTTGCTGGGAGGATTAGAACATTGGGGGCAGGCTTTGAAAGCCCATATTCTCATGTTGTGGAATACTTGTTTAATTATGCAGAGATGGGTTGTGTTTGTTTAACTATGCAAAGATGTGTTGCTGTTTTATCTGATTGGACAAATAAATAGTTGAATAGCTAATAGTGAGGGAGAAGGTAGATGTAGGACTTCCGGACAGAGAGAGTAAGTAGGAGGGGGAATTTGGGCTCAGGAGAAGAAAAAAAGAGATACCTGGGGTCAGCCAAACAGACATGGGGGAAACAGGAAAGTAGGACGTACAGAATGAAAGAAAGTTAGAAAGTCCTGAGGCAAAATGTAGATGAATAGAAACAGGTTAAATTGAGTTATAAGAGCTAGTGGGATTGGCTAAAGCTAAGGCCGAGCATTCATAATTAATAATATGTCTCCGTGCCTTTATTTGGGAGCTGGTTAGCAGTCCAAAGAAAATTCCAAGTACAGCTTCAGGCTTTGAGTTGGCTTTTTCCATTGCCTTTGCATGATTGAGAAGCGAACTCTCAGCTTTCTGCTCCTGTGGCCAAGCCTCTCCATGATGGACCTCTCTGGAACTGTAAGCCAGTACGAAATCTTCTATAAGCTTAGCCAATGAACCAATAGTCACAGTGAGGTAGGAGGCAGAGAACAAGATGGTGAATGACAGGCGCTGAGAAGGATGAGCCAGATGAGGACCGGAGCATGCATGGCCTGGAAAGATGCTGAGTTTGGGTTCCACTTAAAGTGCAATGGGTCAGGACTCTGTCAGAGTCTTTAAAGAGAAAAGTGAAATGTCCAAAGAAGAGTCCAAGTTCTCTCTAACTGCTCTCGAATTTGCCAGAACGACTGTTCGACTGTTTCCTCAGCTGACTATCTGAGAAGGAAATACGCGTTACTGTCAAATCCTTCTTTGGACTTGGAGAGGGCTGTCAACAAATGCCAAGTCAGGGTACCACAGTGGGTTCCCCACGTAGAGTGGCGTTTGATTTCGAAATCAGAGTTCCTGGGTCTATAATGCCTCAAACCAACGGAGTAAGCCTTCTAGGGCCGGAAATGGACGTGGGATATTTTTAGGAAGGAGCCCTTTCTCTGTCCCCAAACCACACTCCAGCACTGCCCAGCCCCAGTGGGCCATTGCTGTTGTCTACCGACTTTCATCTTTAAGAGGTGTGGGCATGCTGCGGTGTTGCAAGTTGCCGGACATGCTGTGGTGTTGCAAGCTGCCGGGAATGCCTGATCAAAAACTGCTTTGGGTGTGGTCAAAAGCTGCCTCCTCTTTTCTTGAGCACTGGCTTGCTGGCTTCCTTACGAAATCGGCTATAGGCAGGAAAAACTCGTGACCTGCCTGAGGTCACGAGTTTGACTTTGTGGGTAAGCCATGGATGCCCTAACCAACCACCTAACTTCTTCCTGCCTTACTTCAGCACATCCATCCCATATCTCTTACCACCAGCTCCACGACTGCCACCAAACCCTCCCAGAGGAGTTACTATGTAGTTGTGGCCATGCACTGAGCTGCTTGGCAAACTGTTCACTGAGGCGGGGCAGGGAGTGCTGTGGCTGCCATTTTCTTCACCTCCCTTGAGGAGAAAGTCCTTTGTTGATCCGTGACAATCTGACTAAGCTTGTTCTTTCCTATTTGGTGAGTAAGACAGCCCCTCAAGCCACCTCATCATCTCCTCTTCCTCTTTTCTGTGGTTGGTCAGCACTCCCTTCTATAGGACACGAGGCCGGATTATGGTGAGTCAAAAGGAAGAATGACAAAGACGTGATCATTCTTATCTGGCATGCTTGGTTCAAGAGTTAGCTACCTGGCTATCCTATCTGGGAGAACCTGTATTTGCTCCCTCAGTTGGCCCACATTCAGCCTTTCCTTCAGCTGAGGGCCACAGGAGACAGAGTTCCAGATTGGAGACCATGAACCGGTCAGTCCATCTCCCGGGGCCCACATCTGTTGTGTGGACAGACAGGTTTTATAGCGCACTTAGCAGCCAGTTCTGCTTCTACAGGGCAGGTAGCTCGCATTTTTTTTTTTTTTTTAACTCAAAGACTGTAGACTTGGATCCTCAAGTAAGCCTGAGACACTCCACAGGAGTTCAGACAATGTAATACCAACATCTAAAACAGCAAGGCTGTCCATGTCCTGAAGTCACCTTTTCCTGGGAGGCCCAGAAGAGTTCTCTCAGTTTTCAGCCAATCATCCCTCCCACACTTTCCTTCATTTCCTCAGAGGGTAATAATGCCCACGAACCCGCAGAGCCTGTTGGTCTAGGACTGGGCAGTTCACAGCTATGGCTGAACTGATCCGGAAGGGTACTCCACTCCACAAAGCAGAGCTGAGCCTCTTCCCTCATGTCTACAGCTAAAATTATCCAGGGGGATGTTCAACCTCTTTCACTTGATGTCAGCAGAAATGGATGCTGTCCCCTCTCCCCAGGGTGCGGGTGCTTTGTCGGATGCTAGAAACTGGAAATGAAGCAAAGTTCTTGCTGGAGACTCAGCAGACAGGTGTGGAGGAGAGAGACCCGTAGAAGTCACCCTATAGCGGTGACAGACGCTCTGATGGGGGTAAGTAAGTACAGGTGCAAAGGAGAGGAGACAGGTAGAAGACCCAGCTAAGAGCTGCGGTGGTTACTCCTCTGTCAGTCCCTCCCCTGCTTTCTTTTTATTTATTTTTTAACAGCTTATATGCATTTTCCCACAGGAGCCCAAACACTGACTCACAAACACCCAGTGAAGGAGGCAAGACAACAGGCGTTCACCCTGTGACAGCGGACTCCCAGGTTCTTTCCACAGATCCAGCAGTTACGGACGGCAGAGACATGGCTGTGGCCCGTGAGCACGGCCCTGGGCCAGGCCTGAATTAAGAGCATTGTCTCTTCATTTCCACAGCTCTTCAAAACAGACCTAAATTTTTCCTTCCAGAAAGAATTTTGATAAAATATCCCTACCGTCCAACTTGCCTTTGTAATCCCTTTCAAATATCTGTGGCATGACATCCTCTCTCAGTGCCGAGCGGCCGCTGTGGCCATTCACAGACAATTCCTTCTGTCTTTCCAAACTGGAACTCCAGACTCATGAGAAAACTCCCATGGGCCTTCTCACTCCTCATTCCCCAGACTGCTTTCTGTCTCAATGAAGTTGACTCTTTTAGCAATGTCTCAAAGATGGAGTTGTGCGTGCGTGCGTGTGTGTGTGTGTGTGTGTGTGTGTGTGTGTGTGGCTGGTTTCACTCAGCTGTGATGGTCTCAAACTCTATCCGCTTTGTGTTCAGACTATACACTAGTCCTTTGTATGGTGCATGTGCTTCTGTGTCAGTTTGCTAGAACACCCCACATCCCAGCTTGAGGGAGGGTGTTTCAGTCCGTAGTCCTCGACTCTGAGGATTCGAGGTTCAGGAGAATGGCAGAACGTAATGGTGGCATGTGGCAGAGGCTACTCAGCTCATGGCAGACGGGAGGACAGGGGTGGATAGGAACAGAGAGATAGAGATAGACAGATAGATAGGCAGATAGATAGATAGATAGATAGATAGATAGATAGATAGATAGACAGACAGACAGACAGACAGACAGAGAGACAGAGAGATAGAGATAGATATCAAGCAGGGCATGGCACAGGCTCCTAATGACCCACTGCTCCCAGCTAGGCACTTCCTCCTAACATTTCCAGAACCTTCAAACATAGTGCCACCAGCTGGTGACTGATCTTTCAGTACACTGGCCTCATTAAGGAACACAGCGTAGCCAAGCTATAACCCATCGGGTTAAAGCACTTTGCTTCTCCATGCCTCTGCAGATTGCCACTGGGCAGCTTCACCTTTGGACTATGAAAAACAGCGGAGCCACAGACATGAGTAAAGATGTCTTTGATTAAGGGATATCCTTAAGCTTTTGGAACTGGAATTTCACATGTTCATCAAATAAGTGGGAGAATAAGGTCCTGTAACTCCATAAGACGAACCTTCTAACCATTGTGCGATCTTGCCCTTAGAAATCATGAATTTAGCCGGGCGGTGGTGGGACAGAGGCAGGTGGAACTCTGTGAGTTTCAGGCCAGTCTGGTCTACAAAAGCTAGTTCCAGGACAGGCTCCAAAGCTACAGAGAAACCCTGTCTCGAGAAGAGGAGGAGGAGGAGGAGGAGGAGGAGGAGGAGGAGGAGGAGGAGGAGGAGAAGAAGAAGAAGAAGAAGAAGAAGAAGAAGAAGAAGAAGAAGAAGAAGAAGAAGAAGAAGAAGAAGAAGAAGAAGAGAATCATTAATTTTATCATAAAACTACTTAGGTTCAGAATATAGCTCTGCCATTCACTGACTGATTATAACATTCACCAAGTCACGTAGCCTCCTGAGCTGCTAGCTATGGCTAGGAGTACGTGAAGCAATGGGTTTGACCGCATTGCTATGCACCCAGCAGGTGTGAGTCTCAGGCTAGCTCCATTGTCATTGTACACGTGATAGGAAGTTCTCAGGCAAGGTGACCCAAGAATTCAAGCTCTCTGATTCCTTGGCTAGAACTAACCTGGTGGACAGTAGGGTCTTTGGGCGGATGCTGTTCTAGCCAGCTGACCTGTGGGTTGTACCTGCCACCTTTGGTGTGCCACCGTCTGGGAGGAGCCAGATGCCTATCCTGGATCTGCCTGCCAACCACACTTCTGTCCCAACCAGGGCTGAGGCTGTCCTAGGCATGTCATGTAAGTGACAGCAAGTTGAGAATAAAAGGACACGGCCCGGGAGTCAAGAGATGAGAACCTCGTTCAGGGCAGCCACTAGACAGGTCTTCTCCCTCTCTTCTGAATCTCGCTTCTCCTCGCCTGTAAATTTAATGTTTTGCAGGTGATTGCCTTTGTGTTCTGAAGACTTCTAGACTGTGACCCCTGTGTGGGGTAAGGCAAGGCCCGAGTGTTGCAGCCAGCCTACGAGCAAACTTGCGATCGGCCTACACTTCGGGTAACCTTGACCCAGAGGCATTCAGCACACCAGCCTTGGATTTCCTCATCACTGAAAATGGAAGGAGATAACAGCCTGTGTCACAGGCCGCGTGAGGGCTTGCCCGACAATATGCCTGGCATAATTAAGTGCTCAGTAGAGGATGGTGTTTCTAGAATGAGTATTCACCAGGAGCCCCCTCTCCCCTGCTTTTTTTTTTTTCTTTTTTTGAGACAGGGTTTCTCTGTATAACAAATAGCTCTGGCTGTCCTGGAACTTGCTTTGCAGGTTGGCCTCGAACTCACAGAGATCTGCTTGCCTCTGCCTCCTAAGCGGTGGGATTAAAGGGGTGCGCCACCGCCAACCTGACGAGGCTATCTCTCTTACACGGTGTTGGGAATCACACCCAGGGTTGTCCACATAGTAGAGTGTCCCGCCACTGAGCTACATCCCCAGTCCCTCATCTGTTTCTTGACTCCTAGATGAAAGACTAAGACTAGCAAGGAGGAAAGAAGAAGCCAATGCTCTCCTTTCTTTTATTTTCTGCCCTCAGTAAGGAATCTTGGCTCTCCGCTCTGAAGACAGGACCAGCTACAACCTAACCCAAACGGCGGCAACGGGACTTGAACATGCTAAGTAGCACTGCCACATAACAGGTCAAAGAGAAGGCGTAAGCGCAAGTACGGTTCCAGTTTTAAAATTTCAGAAACATTCCTTTTATACATGCTCGCAGGAAGTAAGCTGGTGCAATTCCTGCGATGCGAAATTTGGCAGCAGTTGTAAAAACAACAAGTCCATTTACCTCTAACCCAGTATTTCCCCTCCAATTAGTTTAAACTTGGGAAAGCCCCTCTGTCTACAGTTGTTTGGTATTTATAGCGTCTGTTATGACAGCCACCTGTTTCAGATGACGGAGTAAGTTATGTGGACTAGAAAACTACATAACTGTGAGGAAGCGATAGAGGAAACTCTTCAATGCTTGAAGGTGGCAAGATCTCTAAGAAGTATTGTTCCCTGCGAGAACTGAGGGGCAGAATACTGTATGTTACGCTCCGCTCCGCGGTAGACACTCCCCAGGGAAGGCAAGGGGTGGGAATAAACGAGCAGATTAGCATGTAAACATGTCACATAAACATTAGAATATCTCTGCGAGGGGGTTGAAGAGGTGGCTCAGTGTGCTTGTTGGTTTTGTCACCTTGACACAAACTAGAGTTATCTGGGAAGAGGGTGGAACCTCACTTGAGGGAGTGCCTCCATCAGATTGGTCTGGGTGCAAGTCTGTGGGGGCATTTCCTTGATTGGTGATTGACGGGGGAGACAGGAACCACAGAGGAACCACTAGTTGAGACTGACTTGTTTGCATGGTTTGCTCAACCTGCCTTCTTATACATCCCAGGAGGTGGGCCCGGGGGTGGTACCTCCCACAGTTCCTCTGTGGTTCCTGTCTCTGCTACTCCTTGAGTTCCTGTGTGACCTCTCTCAATGATGGGCTGTGATGTGGAAGTGCAAGCCAAATCAACCCCTTCTTCCCCAGGAGGCTTTTTTTGGAGTATTTGATCATGGCAACAGAAAACAAACTGGGATACTCATCCTGTACAAGCTTGAAACCTGAGTTTAAGCCCCCAAAACGCACATAAAAGGCTGGGTGTGGGCTGTCAGGATGGCTCAGCAGGTAAAGGTGCCTACCATCAATCCTGACCACCTGAGTTTGACCTGAGATCCACATGGCAGAGAAAGAACTGACTCCCTCACACGGTCCTCTGACCTCCTTCCTATGAGTTCTGTGTACTCCCTCTAAAACATAATAGATATATACATTTTATTTAAAAGGTATAAGTACTGAGTGGCATGTGTTTGTAATCTGTTTGGTGAAGCAGAGACAGAGAGATTCCTGGAGTTCTCTGACCACCCAGCATAACCTACTTGGCAAGTTCCAGACCAGTGAGAAACTCTATAAACACACACACACACACACACACACACACACACACACACACACACACACCAAAACCAAAAACCAAACCAAAAACAAAACAAACAAACAAAAAAAAACAAAAGCAAAAACCAAAATAGTAACAAAAACAATACAAAAAAAAGTGAATGGCACTTGAGGAATGAGACACTGACCTCTGGCATCTACCGTCACCTGTACCTCCCCATCTAACACACATGCACATATACAAAGCAAAGAAAAAAAAATCTCCAGAAAGTCACACATCAGGCCTGAAGTTCTGAGAAATAGACAAGGGAGGGAAGATTTATCGTTTTAATAATTATAATCTATAACCTTGAGAAGATGGTATTAATGTTTCAAAACTTAAAATCTTATCAAGAAACAGAAGGAGCTGGGGATGAAAGGGAGGGAGGCACGGAGGGCAGGGCCCCGTTCCTGCAGTCCTGGGCAAAGTGAGAGCCATCAGATACAGCTGGGGGGGGGGGGGGGGCTAGGTGAGGTGGTGGGAGATTTGTGAAGCCCTTGTGCTGGGGCCTGGGTGACAAGGGAGGAGATAACACTTGGCAGATAGAATCAGACACTTCTGGCAGGGCTGTGATAGAGAGCTTGGGGTCGACCCTTATTTTCCACAATCCCCCTCCTTGGCCACCTTCTCACCCTGAAAGGGAGAACACAGGCTTTGCTTCCATACCCCCTCTCTTGACAAAGGGGCACAGAGTGAAGGTGGAGCCTAGAATGTCTTTTGTTTTTGCCAGTTGCCTGACTTCTTAGATGAATGTGTACTGTGAGAGCCAGGATCAATGGCCCAGTCTTCTGGAAATGGGAGAGACTTGGGCATACGCCAGGCCCAGGTGTGATGTTCGTTCTCCGTGTGAGCTCCCCTCTGGCTCCTGGACCGGTTGTTTATAAAGTGGTCACCTCCTGCTCAGGAATTTTAACAATTTCCTGTCATTTCGTGGTGTCATTAGATAGCTGGCCAGGTATGATCAGGTTTGAAGGCCACCGTGGATGGTTTCCCCCTTCATAACCAGCAGCTTGTACAACTGGGAGCCACAGGACTTTGATAATTGGTCAAAAGAACGGGGTGTGACTCACATCTCTGGCCCTGGGTAGCTCCATGACCATCTCGACTGCTCAAAAGCTCAGAATGCTACTATACATCCTGAAGGCTTTCCAGGAAAGGACAAAGGCATTCCATTGTTCCCCCCATAAAAGTGAATCCGAATGAGTCTGTTGGTCACCTGAACAGGAAAACACCCCACCCCCCCCACCCCCCCGGGGAAGTTATATTTCTAAAACACCTTAAGAAATAGTAGAAGGCCTATCTAAAGTAGGTTGGTGAAAGAGTCTCTCTGGATACTGGTCACTCTCACCCTTGAGAGTGTGTTCCACTTAAGCCGTCTCCCGGGTGTTGTCAACATCATCCCCCAAGGCCACCATTTTTCTCTGTGATAAACTACCCCTTCTTCTTCATTCTCTGCGTGTCTCATCTGAATTCTTGAGACTGAGATCACAAGGGCTGAGGAACTGAGTGGAGTCCAGAGTGAGATTCTGGCTACAGCGTGAACTTAGAGATGAGTACAGGCTGTGTGTGTGTGTACATGTATATATCTGATTGTTTTTATTAGCGTTTGACTTTCGGCAAAGCTCCTCGCCCAGACTTTGCATGTTGCTACTGTAATCGTATTGACACGTGATGTACACCAATCAGGGCCTTAGATGCTTTGCCTGTCGTGATAAAATGCTCTGCTAAAGGCAACTCAAGGAAGGAAGGCTTTGTTTCGGCTCATAGTTAGAGGTCATATGTCGTCACATCCACGGTCAAGAAGCGGATAAGGATGAAGGCTCATGCTGTACTTACCTGCTTTTAATACAGCCCAGAATCCCACCCCAGAAAACGATGCCACTCACAGTGGACAGATCTCATCTCAAGATAATCTCTAGAGGCATGTCTTCCAGGTCATTCTAGATCTTATGAGGTTGAGCATTGAGCACAAAAATATATTCATGGAATCCCGTAAATGGGGTGAAATGGCAATTTAACAGTTTCTTCTCACCTCTGCTGTCTCCTTTACTCTCCACACTCCCCTTCCTCTCGGGGGTTTATTCAACAAATGTTTAGTGAGTAAAAGTGTCATCAAGAGGCTGTGGTAGGTCTTAGAATTTCAGAGTTAAAATATGGCCATGCTATCCAAGGTCTAGCCTAGGCATCAAGATCAGAACATACAGAAAACGATACATGACCAAGGATCCAAGGTGATGTGGGAACCCAGAGAAGGAAAGTCCAACCCAACCGAGCAGCTAGAAAAGATCAAAAGCTTCCTAGGGAAGATGAAGCCAGGGTTCAGCGTTAAGAGAGAAATAGACAAAAGCAAGCAACGTGAGGGAGTGAGCTGAGAGCAGAAAGGCAGGAGATTCCATATTCAAAGGAGGGTGATGGGATGGATGCAGAGATTGCAGAGAAAATGACAGATGGAATCACAGAGGACTTTTAAAAAGTGGAAGAAAGTTGAAGGAGAGTGGAGAGAGAGAGAGAGAGAGAGAGAGAGAGAGAGAGAGAGAGAGAGAGAGAGACTCATTACAGGTGAAGATTGAATTCAAAGAGAGGAACCAGGACCACAGTGCAGTTCCCAGGCTGAGTTCTCCCTGCTCCACCCTTCCTTCCTAAACTGAATTTAGCCCAGCTAGGAAGCTTCATGTAACTGGTAAACAATGGTAACGTGAGTCTCTAATCTCAAGTTCACAGGGACCCAGAAAGGGAAATCACTGAGTCAGCATCTTCAAAAGGTTTTCCTGGACCACCTAGCATTTTAAATGGTGGAAGAAGTTTGGCTCGGTGCAACCTTAGGTGGATGTGCCTAACTGTGTTGCTTACTCTTCAAGAAACTTGTTAGCCTGAGACCCGTTCTTTTACACAGGGCTTTTCCTTACAGGCTTGGCATCCTTCCCCAGGGGAGTGGTCTGTCTGGTTCTCTCCTCCAGACACCCAGGGCTGATCCTCAAGAATCTGCCTCAGCACCCACACAAGTCTGAACAGGGCCTGAAGACAGTCTCCAACCGCAACCTCATTGTCCCACACCCTGGGAGGTGGGTCTTGTCCCTGCTTGCTGGAGTTTGGGAACAGCGAAGCCTGAGTAGTCAGCCTAGACTTCGTGTGGAGGTGGGGCCTTGTCTGGTGTGTGGCCCAGGACTGTGAAGAAGGGAAACCCCAGGTAGGGGTGGCAACCGGCTTCTGCTCCCCAGAGGCTGTGAAGCTGCAAGTCAGAATAAGTAACAAAAGAATGATGAGGGTGGGAGGGGTGGCTAAGAGGCTAAGGCTGTCTAGAGCTGGGGTCCTGGAAACAGTTCCTGAGAAGAGACTCATGAAGGCAGTTGCTTCAGGAGAGGAGCAGGACAGGAGTGGAGAAGCAGGATAGGGAAGAGAAAGAAGTAACAGCTGAGAGGGCTGAGCTTGAAGAAATAACAGTATGTCTATCCTTGGGTGTGATGGAGGGCTTCCCACCAAGTCCCAGCCTTAGCTCCCCCATAGGGCGCTGTATGTAACCATGCCTCCACCAGGACGAACAGGGCTCTCATGCTCCTCCACTTAGCCGTGACTAAGGGTTCTTCCAGACCTAAATCCCCTGTGGGTGCGACAGCTTGAGTCTCCCACAGACAAACCCCGGATCACTGAATGCAGGACACCGGCGGCAGAAAAGGACAGAAATTAGAGACAGGTGTTCAGAGGACGTGGGCAGAAGGAAGGCGACAGAATCTGGGGGCGGGCTGCGCCAGCGAATGCTATGTCCTGACTTTGTTTCTGCCTCTGTGACCCAGGCCAAATGACTTAATCTTATGGACCTGTTTTGCCAACTGTACAGTGGGGACACTCCCTCTCACAGGGTGCTGCGTGGGATAAACAAGATAACACGAACAAAGGGGTTCAGCATGGGGCCCTGGCGTTCAACAATTAGTGAGAACGTCTTATCTGGCCACATTGGGGCTCTTGCACTGTCCATCCCCCAGAGACCAGATCTGTGACCATGGTGGAGTTCACATTCCCCGGTCTCATCTCCTCCCACTTCTGCTGTTACCACAGACTGACTAGCGTCTCATCTGTGAGATATATTGTCACTCTTCCTTGCTCGACTACGAATCTTGAAGGTAGGGGTTGTTTTTGTCCCAATGTTTTTATCCCATGACACCGTCCTGGGGCCTGACATATCACATCACAGATGCTAAACATACGTGATGGCTAATCTTCATTATCAACTTCCCCTGATCTAGGATCACCATGGAGACACCTCTGCGCACGTCCTGGAGGGGGGTTTCCAGAGAGGATTAACTGAGGATGACAGACCCACCCTGAACACGGTGACAATCATGTCATGGCCTGAGTGAAAGGAAGGAAGGGAGTTGAGTGCCGGTGTTCACCTTCCTCTGCAGTCTGACTGTCAACACCTCGTTCCCACCACCACACCTCTCCCACCACGGTGGACGGAACCCTCAAACTACAAGCCAAAATAAATGCTTTTTCTTGCTCACGTTGCTTGCGACAGGTACTGTGCCATAGTAATAAGGACAGTAACTAATATATTATTGGTTTGTTAAATGGATTATTTAGCCTAACCTATTCCGGAACAGGAGTTAAGGAACGTTTGGTTTTACAAGATAATTCTAGATTGTTTTCAAAGCACTCGTACCAATTCACACTCCTCCCAGCTATGTGTAAGGGCTGCTGTGTCCCCATCTTCTCTGGCACTTGGCACTATCACACTGTATTACATGACAGGCTTTTATAGGAAACCCATTCCCTCTGGTTCCCATTGGTGGTTGTGTGGAGGCTGTGACGGTCAGTTCTTAACTGCCAACTTGCTACAGCCTAGAACCAACCAAGGCAGAGGTTCTCAACCTACGGGTTGTGACCTCTTAGGGGTCAAATGACGCTTTCACAGGGGTTGCCTAAGACCACTGAAAAACACAGATATTTACATTACCATTCACAACTGTAGCAAAAGTACAGTTATGAAGTAGCAACACAAACGGTTTTATGGTTGGGAGTCACCGTAGCATGAAGAACTGTATTTAAGGGTGGCAGCGTTAGGAAGAATGAGAACCCGTGACCTAAGAAGACAGCCTTGATTGAGGGATTGTCTAGATAAGGTTGTCATGGGGAAGGATGACGCGATGACTTCAATCAATCAAAAGGCCCAGGAAGGCATACTGAGGACAGGGGACACATTTGGTCTGGGGTGTGTTCTAGAGGCAGGGTTCATGTCTACAGTCACAGGAGTATGAAAGGCAGTGAAGGATGGCAGTGAGAGCCATTCCTCACGTCATGCAACGCCCTTGAATTTCTCGAGCTCTGGGAAGCATTTGCCAACATCTATGGGTCAAGGAAATAACTCTATTTTCCAGATGCTTGTCCTTCTCTAAAAGGCCAAACTTTAACTACTTGTCTACTTTGTGTGTGTGTGTGCGTGTGTGTGGGGTTATGTGCACCTGTATGTACAGGTGTGTGCATGTGTATTACAGGTGTGTGCACATGTTGCAAGCCCAGAGTCTCTCTTATCCTGCTGCCTGCAGATCTGGATGTAGAACTCTCAGGTGCCTGTCCAGTACCGTGTCTGCCTGTGTGCCCTCATGCTGCCCACCATGATGACAATGGGTTAAATCTCTGAACCTGTAAGCCAGTCCCCAATTAAATGTTTTCCTTTATAAGAGTTGCCATGGTCATGGTGTCTCTTCACAGCACTAGACACTAAGACACAGAGGAAAAAAAAATATCCTCTTCTCCTCAAAGGGAAATTGAAGGTTAGAAGCACCAGGAGGGTTGGCCACCATCCTGCTCTCCAAAATGAAGTCATTCTGAGGACAAACTTATAAAACAAAGGCTGAGAAAACGAGAAAGATGGAAAAGTCTCCCCCAGTGCCAGGAGGAGCATCTGGGTGAAGGCTTTGTCTGAAGCTGGTGAAGCCTCAGCAAATCTTCTTCATCGTTTAAGCCCCCTTTGATTTGATTTTCCATGACAGGCAACTGAAAGCATTGCAAATGATGCTGATGTCAACGGGCACCCATTTCTTTAGGGAAGGCTAATCAGTATGATGAGGGTGTATTAGGACCAACCACGTAAAACAGGGATTTCTAGGGCCCCCCCTAGGCTGCCATCCAAGAGAACGAGCTGTCTCTCGAGAAGAGAATCAGGCTTCCTATGTGGTCCCAGAGGGCAGGCCTGATGAGACAGCTCCTCCTAGACACAGGTAACGAGGAAATGCGTTCTCTGTGGAGCATTCTAAAATGACGATAAAAGTCACAGAACTTTAATAAGTTTGCATTAGCATCGCGTGCTGGAAATTCTAAACCACTTCAGTAATAAAAAAATATCCCATTTTGCATGGACAGACAGCTCCTGCCACACCTCCACCACTTGCTATGCCTCTGCCAACGAGGAGAAATTACAGGGAATTCAGTTTCAAAGCTAATAAAGAAAGAGCTTTCTAACAGGCAATAATGGAACGCGCTATCTTGGGGCTGATGAATTATCCATTGCTGTGCTTTCCAAATAGAAGCTGGAATGTTACTCAGTCGAAGCCTGAAGCCAGTGGATTACCTTAACTGACCTTGACGGCACCTGCTGGCTCTACAAAGAACGGCAAAGGAGTGACTGAGGCAGCTCTGTTCAGTTTAGTACAGGGTAAAGTGGAGGGCACCTTGGGTGATTCCCATTGAGTTATGGTGAGGTAGAGATAGTCCTGATTAACTGCAGAAGCATTAAGATTCACGTGGACATTGGGAATCAAAGCGCACAGGATTCTGAATTAGGAAGTGAAATCTACGATTGCTGATTGTAAGAAATGTGGCGTCCAGGACTGGAGTCAGTTAACTCAGCAGTTAAGAGCACTCGCTGCTCTTCCAGAGGACTCAGGTTCAACTCCCAGCACCCACACAACAGCCCACAGCCATCTGTTAAGTCCAGTCCCAGGGGATCTGATCCAGTCTTTTGGCCTCTGTAGACCAGGCACATACACAGCACACAGACATCTGTGCAGGCAAAACCCTCACCGATGTGCAAACAATTCAGTTGAATTTTAAAAAGAAATGAGGCAGTTCTGAAGCTAGAGGAGGAGCTTTGGGAGGTGGAGTTCTGAAATCTACAAGGTCACTGAGAAGAAGAAACACCTGAAAGTAACCAGGAGGCCGCAGAGGGCGTGGTCACATGCCAGCAGGCTAACCTGGTTAGGCAGCTCCACCCTCTCTGCACAGCTCTCGCCTCAGAAAGCCACAGTGTCTACACGCAGGTAACATCTGTGAGTTCTGGGTCTTCTGGGCTCAGAGCCATCCCACCTGTGCACCGAGGACACCGTGCAGTCAATCTCCTCCGTAAGCATGAAGGACACTGCCGTTCTTTGCAGTTCACAGCAAGCCAGCCGAAGGTTACCTTTGCTCTTGGTTATCCGGCAGGAAGTGATAGTCTCTCAGCTGGAAGTAAGGTCTATTAAGGGCATGCCTGCGGTGAGGTTGTGTCTTCTATAAGGCAGGAAACCTGCACCAAGGAATCATAACAATGTGGCTGCCTAAACAAGACCTGAACAATAACAGCAGCTGCCATGGCAGTGCAGAAGAGGGAAATCTCATGGGGCCCCATGCCTAGAGGAAGAGCTACAGGAAATTAATGTTGAGAGAGGGTGAGTTAGTGTTCCTCAAGGATGAAGCTCGTGTTAGGAGATCTAATCTAATCCCATGTCATCGGCTCTGAACATGTATACACATATATGCATATATATGTATATGCAACATTAAATGAACTCTTCAGGTTGTACTTAAATATTTACCCTTTCTCACACACACATACACAAACAAAATTAAAGAAAAAGATGTCATGAATTTGAAAGGGAGAAGAGATGGGCATGAGAGGAATTAGAGGGAGGAGACAGAGGTGGAAAATGATGCAAATATAGTACACACATAAGAAACTCAACATTAAGTAAAAAAAAAATCTTCCAAACAATGGAAACTGGACTGAATTACTTAATATATTTTGTTTTCTTGCTCACTCCTTCCTCTTCTTTCTCCTCCTATTTATTCTCTCTGCCTAACAGCCCTGCCTATCTTTCTCCTGCCCAGCTATTGACTGTTCAGCTCTTTATTAGATCAAGCAGGTGTTTTAGACAGGCAAAGAAACACAGATTCACAGAGTTAAACACATGCAACATAAAAGAATGCAGCACACCTTTGCGTCATGAAACAAATGTCCCACAGCATAAACAAATGTAACACATCTTCAACACTTCCACAACACTACAGTGAAGACAATCTAATGATCATCTTGGTGAGGTGTTCTGGAAAAGGTTTCCTATACATTGCAGGTAATCCTCATTCATCTCAGGGCTGATTGGCTTCTTCTGAGGGTTATTTAGCTGTCTGATTCGCTTTCCATGCCTCCTGACATCTTAGACATTGTATAGTTTAACATCATCATCACCAAGGACAAGGGCTGATAAGCAGGGCTCAGAGCAGCCCCAGCTTCTGTTCTGAGGAGGTTGTATGGACTTCTGAGTCCTGGTTTTCATGACCATAAACATGGAGGCTGGCCAGAAGAATAAAATGAGGTGTGACCCACAAAGCAGCTGGCCCAGTGACTGCGGAGCTTCCCCGACATGCTTACATAACAAAAGGGGTACGTGAAAAGGAGATCTGGGATTCGCTGTGAAGGTTCCTTCCCAGACCCTGGATTAGGCACCCGAACAGCTGTTTTCAGAGATCCTCTATCAAGTGGGGAAGAAAAGTTAAAGTGGCTGCTTTCTGACTCAGGCAGAAAACTGCAGCAAACGACCTTGCAGGTGCTATTTATTAGGTTTGTTTTTTTTTTTTTTTTTCCTGAGATAGGGTTTCTCTGTGTAGTCCTGACTGTCCTGGAACTCGCTCTGTAGACCAGGCTGGCCTTGAACTCACAAAGATCCACCTGCCTCTGCCTCCCAAATGCTGGAATTAATGACATGCGCTACCTCTGCCTTGGCACAGGTATAATTTTTAAGACAAGAGAAAGGGAAGTCTGAGTTAGAATGGGCTAGGATGAGGTGGTATGTTATGATTGGGCATGTTAATTAGGTGAACTAAAGGGGGCTTTTGATTGCTGGACTTTAATACTTTGATAGCTGGACCTTGGTAGTGAGCCTCGGGAGGAAAACGTGGCCGAATGAGGGACTAGACCTCGGTGACTAGCAGTTTAGCGAGGCAGAGGGAATGGGGGAGAAGAGCAAGGCCTGCCAGAGCCATGTTTGCCACGCTGGCTGTCTTGAGTCCCTTCACACTGAACTATTGAGAAGGAGAAAGGACCAGACTTGGAAGATGGGAAGGACAAGGGGGCGGCACAGAGGAGGAACACAAACCTAGCACAAGTAGTCAGCGTTAAGGTTTAGCGACAGAAGAGAACCTTGGCGCATTGGGGCCAAGGAACACTGCAGAGAGCACAAGGTGCAACAGATCTCACGCAAGAGGTTTATTAAGGGTGTGG